AAATTGCAGAAAAATCCAAAATACATCTCACAGACACTTTAAAATCAAACGGTACAAATATTCTGTAGAGGCAGGAATGGATTGGTCACAGTTGGGTAGGAAAGGGAGGAAGAGCAGGAGGAGGAGGAGGAGGGGAAGCTGAAAGCAGGATTGAACATTGATCCCCGCTTGTGAGGCTTAATGATTGGTAAACAACCCGGATTGTTACATCAATTCCCAAATTATATTGAACTATTTGCACCAGGATTTAAAACATTACAGAGGGAGGTGATTTTAGTTTAAAGCGTTGAGATGAATCAACAACTCCTCTGTGTCTTAAAAATAACACTCGGTTGTTTATTTTGTAACTGTTGTTAATAAAGGAGGAAACTAGTCCTTTGTTTGGAGAATTAGCTTCTGACAGCCTTATCTTTTTATTTTCAAGCAAAGGGTTGCCACTTCTCTTCCTTTGTGTGTCAACCTCCCAGCTTCCATCTAGGCCAGGGGTATTCAACTCAAATTCAACGAGGTCCAGTTAGAGAAAATCTCCCCATGCAAAGGTCCGGAACATCAAAATGTCTAAGTTGCTTTATGAATTAGTGTGATGTATATTGAAGTAGCCTGTAGCTGTATCAACGTCTGCATGTAATCAACAACTGACTGCCAATCAAATAAAGAAAGGACAATTAAAAAACAACAATATTTATTGTCAATTAAAGGTGGGGTAGGTAATTCACTTCAGAAACACTTGTTATATTCCATGGAATGCTCTTAACATCCCGATAGCAATGAATACATTAAATGCTCTGACAATAAATACATAAAAAAATGTCATCTGTGGAAGCCGTGGCGCTGTAAAAAGCACGACCAATCATCTGAGCCGGCCCGGCTAAAATAACTGGATGGCCTACCTGCCTGTCAGCCTTCCATCTGTGCACAAACTTATCTCGTGCTCTCATTGGTCATGTGCGCGTTCGTGTGTGTTGGAGGAGGGGCTCTGTAAGGAAGTCTGAAGGAAGGGGCACATTTTTTTCGGTTGTGTACTTTCAAATTCTAGCGCACTCGAGCTGGTTTCTCCATTCTTACCTACCCCACCTTTAAGATTGAACTATACAGATATACAGTAAAATACTGTGGATATGTGTAGTGTTCCTCTCGGGCTGCATTTAAAAATAAAATAGAGAAAATAAATAAAATAGCTTTTGAAAATGTGTGCATCTTAAAAGTGCTTAATTTTAGATAAATAAAATAAAGTGTAGCAGCAGCTTGAGTTTCCCTTTTTCTTTGTTAACCGTTTCACATCATGACTTAACAGTTTCAGACGATTATAGAACAATATCAGTCTTTACACATCATAACAATTGAACAGTTTTAAAGTTTCTCTTTCTTTCCCTCTTATAGTGCAGTCCCTCACTCACTTTTTTTAATTCAGTGTGAGAATTGAGCTTGAGCTTGTCCTGCCAGGAGTTTAAATCTGGGCTGAAATGGTGTCAGGGCCATTCTCATACACACATGCAGGTGCTCATTGGTTAGCCTGGAACGATATTTAGTTTACATTTTGATCCTGGTGGACTGATCATACTGGGCTCTGAGAGTGCTTATTTGACCTCAGTTCTGACTTGAGAGGGAATGTTTGGTCAAACACTTTGTGTTTTGTCTCATAGTGGCGTTTTGGCACTTTTAATGAGCGCCACGGTCTCTGAATGAGACACACTGGCTCTGTGCTCCCAGTGGGCAGGATGAACATGAATGAGTCCGTCCACTCAGGGTTAAAAGCTCTGTTCTCACTGTCCACTTTCCTCTTCTTGGAGAGCGCCATGTGTAATTATCTGTCTCTCCCTGTCTGCCGCTAACACGCCTGTTCACTCTCCTCTCCGCTTCTCTCTGCCGCTCTCTCGTCTCTTCTTCTGTGTTTCTCTCCCTGTATCGCTCACTGATCTCTTTCCCCCCCTGTCGGCGGCGGTTAAAATAGAATCGCCCCGTCAAAATTGAAATCCCCTATTAATGTATTGATTGTCCGGGTCCGTATAGGTCTGGGTCGGGATCCGGACCGCGGTCCGCCTGTTACTGAACTATGATCTAGGCTGTGTTTTTGTGTGTGTGTGCATGTGTGTGTGTGTGTGTGTAAATGTGTGTGTAAATGTCTAGGCTTCATAGGAATGTTCTCTTCAGTCACGACGCCCTAAAGAATGACAGCTCTCATCTATGGGCTGGGCCCCTTAACCAAAGCATCACTAGTCCTTTGTCCTGCACTGCACGTGTGTGTGTGTGTGTTGCTGTGTGTGTGTATCTGTATGTTTTCGCTGCCTTCACATGTTGGGTGATGGTGTGTCTGTTTATCTCTGTGTCCTCGTGTGTGGTGTTGTTGTTGTATGTGCTTTAGGAGGGGTCTGTGTGTTTCTAGGTTTGCCTTTTCCTAGAAAGCTGCAATCTGACACCCACTGTGCACGCATAATTGGTGCTCTGTGCTCATACGTGTATGTATGTATGTATGTGTGTGTTCAGTGGGGGTAGCCCATGCAGCTCACCATTTCTCAGAGGCTTTTATTCAGCTGCTTCCTCAAACAATCCTTCACGTCCTTCCATTCATCTAGCCATGCTTCCTTTTCTCTTCTGCTCCTTGCCTCAAGCTCAAAACCCCTGATAGGACGGGGGCACGAGGATATACCTAAATCAAATCCAACTTTATTTATATTTCACTTTTCCTACACAAAGGTTACTCAAAGTACTTCTCAAACCAAACACATACACCATTTACAAAAAAGAAAAACAGTACTATCTCCCCCTTCCCAGCTATAACCAGAGTAACACATACAGTAGCTGTGTGGTTCAAAACGACAATTAAAACCAACGCAGGAATGAAGAAAACAGGAATGACATCAGAATAACACTTCACTCATGTAAACTCTGTGACCTTGAATCTCGACCTTTGTCATATTTTTCTGTCTCTAACTCTCTTGTCCTCCTTCACTGCTGGTCTCCTTTGTTCGAGCCTTTTCCGATTGCAGCCTGCAAAGAATAAGGTCCTGAATATAGCTTCCATCTCTTTCACCCTGCGCTTATTCAGCCTACAGCTGGCTAACAGAATCCCCCCCCCCCCCCCCCCCCCCCCCCCCCCTCACATCCCCTCGCCTTCTCATGTTTTGTGTTGGACTCTGCTTCCCTCCACGTGCATCAGCAGCTCAAAGGCATGTAGGAGGAGTTCCCTGAGAGGAATGTGCGTGACTTGCTGGCTGACTGCGATATATACAAACACACATACAGACACACGCACGCATGCACACACACACACACACACACATGCGCGCGCGCGCGCGCGTAGCTCACACTTCTGCAGAGCCAGCTGAGAGGGACTCTGGTGGGAGGAGGACAGGGAGTGTGTGTAAAGTGTTTGTACTTCCAGCTTTATGAGGACATGGTATCCTCAAGATGATTAAAAATGTATAAATATCCCCGTAATTGTGACCTAATATTGGTTTGACTCCAATTTTAAATAAAGCCAAGAGGAGGGTTTGATATTGTAAGGCAGGCTGCTGCTGTATCTCAGTGTTTTTGTGCGCTGTAAAGAAAGAAAGCTGTTATTCTCTGAGCTGCTGTGTATCAGCTGACCTCCTGCGGGATTCTGGGAGTTTTCTCTGGAGATAGAGCGCTAAGACGGGCTCTTCAACCTTCCGCTAAAAATACCCCTACTTTAAATCTAAGCTTCAATTACAACACAAACAGAGCCGGATTTTGTTTTACGTTTTGTGGCAGGAGACAAAGCACAGCTACAATTTAGGAGCATTTTGCTGTTGACCTGATACACAACAGCCCCTAGTGTTCCCCGTGTAAAGACTGACATCAATCAGTCATTATAATGGGTTTTTGTGAATAATAGCGCACAGCGTGAGCTATGATTTGAACATGGCAGCCAGCTGGGTTTTCCATGTTGGTCGTCTTTCTGCCTCCACATAATAGATAAGTTGGCCTTGCTGTTATTCAGAGGGGAAACGCTTGTTCCTGAATGGTTACAGTTGAATTCAGCTCTCTGTCCTGGTCACCGTTTCAGCCCCACCCGACACCACCCTGGAAAAATTGGTGGAGCAGTATGACTCTGCTTTTCTGTTCTTAACTCTCCTCATGAGTTTCTGTTTGCAAGTGTTTTGCCAGTGACGTCACTGACTGCATTGTCTATACTTGTTGTATGCATGTATGTGTGTACTGTTTACGTAGCAACAACCCTCTGCTCAGCTGACATGGGAAGTCTAAATATATTCCTCTGAAGCGGCCAAACTGGAAAAGTTGTGTCATCCTCTGCCTGCCCCCACACCCCTTCTCCAAACAAGTCTTTCCAGCCAACTTTAAATAGCCATATCTGTTCAGCCATTCATGTGCTTATCATGCATTTTATCGCCCCTAGCAACTGTCACAGCGTATCAATCAATCGGTTTTTGCTTATGCAACATCTTCCAGACAAGTGAAATGCACTTCGAAGTACTTTTATAAGCATTTCACTCAAATAAGAATGTCGAAAGCAGTAACATGTTCACAAAATAAAGTAGAACAATGATTATTATTCTAACTTTATGATAATGATAAACGCAAATATGTTGATTAATCACAGTATGATGAATTATAAAGATCATAAATTGATTAGTATAAATCATAAAACCATAGAATTATACAACACTACATAAAAGACAGCCTAAAAAGAGTGGTTTAAAAAAATATATATATATATATTTTCTGCCCCTCTCAGATCCTCTTGAAGGCTGTTTCAGCGACTTGGAGCGTAATGGCGCGTAATGGCTGAAAGGAACATTTTTTACCGTTAAAAGAAAAGTACCAGAGGATCACACACTTTTGAATTTCTGAAAAGTAGTCTAATGCACAGCCATGTAGTGCCTTATAGCTAATAGAAATCAATAGGAAAACTAACAGGTAACCAGAAGCAAGTTAGTAATGAACCCGCTGCTCCGCTACCATTGGTGGATGTTATTTCGACAGAAGCTCACCCTCCTCTCTCTTTTTCTCTGCTCTAGATGCAACGGAGGAGTTTTTCGAGTACGATGCGGAGGAGTTCCTGGTGTTCCTGACGCTGCTCATCACCGAGGGAAGGACACCAGAGTATTCTGTGAAGGGCAGAACCGAGGGGCTGCACTGTCCTCCAGCCCAGTCGGCCATGCCGCCTCATCACAAGCACGAGTGCAGCGACAAAGTGCCCCAGGTAGCACACACACACACATCCACACACCTCTCACACACACCTCTCATGACTTTTCCTGAAGTGTGAACAGATGGCAGCCTCTTCTCTTTTTAATGTTGTTGATCATTCATGTCTTTCAAGTTATGAGCGTTAATTGAGGGCCACTTGGAAATGGATATTACATTTTACCTACATGTTTGTTGTTGTTGTTGATTGTGTATTTACTGTTATTTTACCAACACAGCTGGAACTTGGCATCCAATGTTAGAGATATGTATCAGAAACCATATCGCTCAACAGCAACACAAACGGCAGCCTCTGAAATAAGTAGACTTTGATTTAATACCTCTTTAAAACTGTGTTAACCCTTAGATGCCCGAGTGACTGGACCCTACACTCTTCCATAAGTGGGTCAAAAAGGACCCGTATTAGAATAATGTGTGTTTTTATGTCATTTTGGTTAAGAAAAAATCACTTTTATAATATTTAGTATTATATTTTGGTTCACACTAGAAATATTTTATATTTAAATTTTTATAATTTTAGACATTTTTTTTACATTTTGAAAAAAAAACGAAAATGCATGCGGGTCATTTTTGACCCACTTATGGCAGCTTGGGGTAGTCACTACAATTTCTTAAAATGTACATTTCAAATTTGAATGGCATGATATCCAAAACATGTTTTTTGAGGAATAGCTGGAATATGAAATGATAAAAAAAAATGTAATTACAAAGATACTTCAAGAAAACCACCTCACCGGGTCAAAAAAGACCCACTTATGCATCTAAGGGTTAAATGAAATTAAACAAAATGTGGATCATACATTGCAGGAATGTGTATTCGACTGCATTAGTTGTATTGTTGTTTCAATCTGTATTCCTGCAACAGTTACACAAAACAGCATAACAGCACATTGGTCTTGGAAGATAATCTTGCACTTGTGTATACTACTCCGTTTCTTCTTGCTCTATTTTGATTGTTTTTTAAATTTGTTGCTGTCTTATATATATTTATGTTGCATTGTTGGAGGAGCCTGGGACTTAAGAGATTCATTGAATCTTTGAAGTAAACTTCCATAATGGAAAGATTTTCAAGTGAAATGTGATTAACACTAAATACAAATCACTTGGAAATTGGGCTCTAATAATAATAATAATAATAATAATAATAATAATAAATAATATAATAGATTACATTTTTATAGTGCCTTTGAAGGGACCCAGAAGCTCTTTGGGTCCCATCTGCCCCTAAACCTCTGGGTCTGGTGTTGACTCTCTCTAATGAACACTCACCCTCCACCTTTGTCTGTGTGTGTGTCCAGTGTCGGCAGGCGAGGCGAACCCGCTCAGAGGTGATCCTTCTGTGGAGGAACAGCATCCCCATCATGATCGAGGTCATGCTCCTGCCAGACTGTTGCTATGGTGACGAGTGCCCCCCGAGTGACCCCATCAGCGACCCGGTCATCAGACAAGATGCTCTGCTGCTGGAGAGATGGACCCTGCAGCCAGTTCCTAGACAGTAAGACACACGTGCACACACACACACACACACACGCACACGCACACGCACACGCACGCACACACACACACGCACACAGAGCCAAGCATGTGAGAAATGTGAGGAGGTAAAGGTTACCGGCGTCTGCCAACATCCTCATTCCCCAACATTGTGTGTGAAAACAAATCTGATCTAGACACTGACATACTGGCTCCACCAGTAACTCGGTGAAGACACAATAAAGTTATACAAGAGAAAAAAGCTTGTAAACTTGATCTAACTTGGACACAAACCACCAAATATAATATTGTCTGAGACTTTGGGGGGGGGGGGCTGTAGAGAGAAAATGATATCTAAAGATGGATTTAGACAAGAAAAGGACAAAAGTTAAATCTAGAGGAACGAGACTATACGCACCACCATTTAGTTTAAATTCGGCATTTTAGACTTAAATACTCCTTGACATGATTTAAAATAGATAAAGAGCAAATGAAAGACAGAATGAGGTAGAAATACCTGAATTGTGAAATAATAATACGATAATTAGTGTCAAACAATAGTTGATGAATAACTATTCTATTGTTCAGCTATTGGTGTTTATAGACCATGTAAGCTGATGGCAAATAATTTCCTACAGTATCACACTTAGGTCTTAATAACACATTGAACCCCCACTAAAAAGCTTATTCAGAAGAGCTGGGAAATCCCCATTTTTTGCTAATTTAATTCATTCATAACAGATTCAGTGCAGGTTTGATAGTTTCTTTATGTCCTTTTAAATCAGACATGAACAGAACAAGCACACACACACACACACACACACACACACACACACACACACACACACACCTACCTTGAAGTGTTTTCACATTTCCACCTCTTTCTATCTGTGTTTTTAATAGAAGCGGCGATCGTTCCATTGAGGAGAAGACCCTGCTGTTGGCTGTTCGCTCCTACGTCTTCTTCTCACAGCTCAGCGCCTGGCTCAGCGCCTCCCATGGCATCATCCCGAGAAACATCCTGTACAGGTCAGACAAAACCCCCGCTGAAGACTTTCACTCTGGTGGGCCTTAAGCTTTTAACTGAGGTTAGATTATCAAAGCTACAGGGGCTCTAAGTTGTTATTTTTACAATTTTATCAGAATCAGAATTCCTTTATTCAAGGTTCAAGGTTTTTTTATTTGTCATACGAACATAGCTACAGTGTAGTTATGACGATGAAAATCTTAGGTCACAGGCTCATCCAACAGTGCAACACAATAACACAGATAAACAGAAAAATATAGTGCAAGTAAATAGTAATACAAAAAGTAGTGAAATAGTGCAATAAGAGTCTATATGCAAGTTATTGGAATGATAAATCGATCAATAATTTCTAAGTAGCAGCCAGATGAATATTATGGATGTTGTTTCAACAGTTCAGGTGTTTAACAGTCTTGTCCTGCAGTGGGAACATGTACAGCGTTACAGCAAAAGTGACATAACGGGTAATAAAGAGTATGCCAACATGTTAAATATAGAAAAAAGCACACATTAGTAAATTACAAATAAGTACTCATCCATGTCTAAACATGTGTAGCAGCATTCCAATCTAAAGCATAAAGCTGCAAACCTGGTATGCTGTTTTGGAAATTGAATCACATGAAGTAAAACGGTATAACCAGCGATAGGCTCTTGCAATTCGTCCATCTTTTAGGATGTAAGAATGTTTATTTAATTTCCCTCTCCCTGTCTCTTTCTAACAGGATCAGTGCTGCTGATGAGGAGCTGGTGTGGAAGTTTTCCCAGCCGCCGTCAGAACACATTTTCCCCATCCCCAATGTATCCCAAAGTGTTGCACTGCAGGTTCGTGTCCAGTCGCTCCCCCGCCAACCCACCTACCCCACCCTGGCCTGCAGCATCCACACCGGCCTGCCTCCGCTCTACAGCAAGACCCCCAGCCTCAACCCCAACTTCAACTGCCATGGTGGACCGCCCACCCACAGAAAGAGCCAGCAGGACCCCGGCAAAGAAAACCTCCTTCCCAACGCTAACATGTACAGCAAGAGCTCTAGCTCCATGTCCGGCCTTCTCCTCAATGGATTACCCATTCCTAATCTCCCCATCAACAACATCCCCATCAACAGCCTCCCCCACACGGCTGCCCCCCCTCCTTACAGCAAGAAGGAGCCCGGTGAGGACTACACGTTTCAGAATGGAGAGCTCCCGCAGGTCAACATCCCCCAGCGTCAGGGCTCCCCGCTATTCCACAGGTCCACTCACTCCCCCACGCCGCCCCGCTCTCACTCCCCCTCTCCACTTCCCACTAGTAAAGCAGGGAAGTGGCTGTACGCGGCGCTCAACGGTTCATCCGACCCGAAAGAAGTAGGGGACTTCGGGTCGGTCCCCAACAGCAGTGTTAGGACAAAGAAGCCCATGCCTGAGCCTCTGAGAGCTTTTAAGAACTTCTCATTGGCCGAGCCTCCCCGAAGCCCCTCCCCCAGGCCCTCAACCGAGACAAACCCCTTAATTGGCTCCCTGCTGCAGGAGAGACAGGAAGTTATCGCCCGCATCGCACAGAGGCTCAATTTCTGCGACCCCACAGCACCGCCACTCCCCCCCGGCCTTTTCGCCTCCGACAACCCTCCCAAAGCCATGTGGGGCAGTAACCACGACGACCTAACTGCCAGTAAGACCAAAGAGCCTGAGGTACCCCCCTGCGAGTTTGTGGGACGTGTGTGGCCCAGTCCCTTCAACACACCCACCACTGACCCTGCTTCCTTCAGCAAACGAGAGAGCTCCTCCCCTAAACCTACAGCATGCAGGAAGCTGAGAATGACCGAGACAAGAGAGGGGGGGGAGGCGAGGAAGGGAGAGAGGGAGAAAGAGAAAGAGAGCTCTCTGATCGCCCAGGCAGTACAAGACATAACGAGACTCATCCAGGAGAGGCTGTGCGTCCCCTCGCTGTCCCCGAGGCACGGCGGCAGCCACCTGCACCACACACACACAACAACAGTCACACACACGGTCCGCACATACTCACACCCCCCGCACACTGCCACCAACAGCTCCACTAACGGACACACACCCAGCCATGAACCTCACACAGGCAGCAGTCGCACACACACGCCCTTTTGCACAGACACGCCCGGGGTCGATCCGGGGACCGAACGCCATTCTCCCCGGGCCCAAAATGGTGCTCACCTTACACTTGAAGAACCTTTATTCAAAGACCGGTCCTACGCTCAGGCTGGTCGACGTTTACGAACTCCCCCACACGAAAAGCTCAGAGCAAGGACACCCAGCAGCCATGAAACCCTCTCCGCCTCCCCCGTCCTTGAGAGCAGGAATGCCCAGATTTCTTGTGGGACTTGCAATGATGCGAGCCCCGCCATGAGCCACAACCACAGCAAGCCTCAGCTCCAGTCGCAGGTGCAGGTCTGTGCTCAGGCCCAGGCCGCGTTCCCCGACGAGAACCAGGCACCATCACAGACCGGATGCTCCAACACCTCCAGTCCAGACATGACTCCCCCTTCTACTGTCCTGGTGAGGGACTCCTCATTCTCTTCCATATACTTTTGAATGATGGGGTTGATGAACGTCATATATTTAAGCAAATAACTTGCACTGTGTTAATCTGTCTCCATCTCTGTGCTCCAGCGGTCTCACAGCCCCTCCCCGCTGCGCCCCTGCAACACGTGGAAGAAACACAACCGCCACTCGTTAGACGCCACAGCGACCAAGGCCTTCCACCCCTGCACAGGCCTGCCTCTGCTCTCCAGCCCTGTAAGTAACACACATCTTCACACGGAGACTCACCATAGTCTTTTTCTGCTTTGTGCAAGGAGAGACCATTTCTTTGGCCTATTTGGCTTCCGTTAAATGTCCTCTCCGTTAAATGTCCTCTTTTAAATAGAGGTAGAGAAGTAGTAGTATAGTATAGTATAGTATTCGTTTATTTGTCCCCGAGGGGAAAATGGGTTGCAGCACATCACAAAGGCATTTAAAAAGAGAATACATACGTCACTGATAACAACATAGACACAGATTAAAACGAACAGACATAAAAAAACAACAGATATCGGCAGACATAACAATCTCATTTGCAAAAAGGGGGGGGGGGGCAGGGACAGTGCCAGACCAGCTGGGTAAACAGTGCGTCCTAGCCATCATTGGTTCAGGAGTTTGATGGCTTGTGGGACGAAAGACAGCCTAGATCTGTTCTTTTTGAACAGAGGGGCACGATATCTCCGCCCGGATGGCAACAGTTCAAAGTAAGAGGCAAGTGGGTGCCTCAGGTCACTCACAATATTGAAGAAGAAGGCATCTATTCTAAATACACATGTAGGTGGTTATTTCTTTATACTTTCTTAATTTTAAGTCTCTAGATTTCTTATACAATTCACAAAGTGTTGGCATTAGATAATGCCATATTTTCATATTTTAACAAAACATTCAAGAATACTTAATAGAAGGAATAATAAAATAATATTGTCTTTACATTATTCATTGGGGAGGTTCCACAGTAATATCTGTTTAACAAATCCCCTATTCTGTTATATCTTGCACAATTGTATACATATCTTTTACAGATATGTATTGTATCAACATTCTCATACTCTTAACTAGAAACGTTTTTTACACAGGGGTTTTTCATATAATCTGATTTGTATGTCACTTTATTCCTAAAACTTTATTTGATATGGCTGTTGACAGTCATTTCAGATGTATGGATTGACACGAAGAGATATCCCTCAGTAAAATGTTGGATTTTAATACTGTATGTCAACTAAATGAAACAAAAATCGGGAGTTTTGATCTTGCAGTAAATGCACAGTAGCATGCATATATATTTAAAAACAATTGAGAAAACTTGCAATTCAAAAAATATAATTGTCCCAATGCAAATAATCAACTGGGTTAGTTAAATGGTTAGCATTAGTTCAAATGATTCCCCTATGTAGTTGAAGTGTCTCGAGTTGACACTTTGTGTATGCAGGCTCAGTCACACACACTTCCTGACTCAGACTCAGTCAGTATCCGTGCCGTTTGTTTGCCATAACAGCGCACTCACTACCCTTCACTTCAAGCCATCTGAAGCATTACTCACAGTACTTTCGTAAAAGAAGTGAGACCACAAATGTTTGTCCTAAAGAGACTTTGAAATACAGTATCTGGCAGCTGTTTTTATTGCTGCTGCTCAGACAAGGTTAATGTACACACACACACGCACACACAAAAACACACACATGGGCAAGTGACTCATATGTGCCTTGTTAACCACAACACGTTGTCTCATCAGAACGTCACAGTTTCCTGTCTTTTATCCATCTCATGTAAACATCAAACTGTAAACAGACACTCAGGAACTCCAACAGTCTCACAAATGTGTACATACACATCATGAAGTACATTGCACACAATATATACATATGTTAATATTTTGACATCATTTTGTCTTTATAATGCCTTTTGTATCTTTACATGATCTAAAACATGTTGTATTATTTCAATAATATATAGTTTTAATTAAAGATGTATTTGTATTTCTTCCTGGAAAAATCTCTCCTGTCATCTTCAAATGTCCATTTAAGAGTACAATATTTATTTATTTATTTTAATCTTGTATTTGTCATATATGTGTTAGCACTTTGTTAAATGTATTAAAATATTTTTAAAAAAGAGAGTGAAAAATCCCTTGTTCGTGTCTTAACCCTTGTGTTGTGTTCGAAAGCTGTTACCGTTCATGGTGTTCGCGGGTCAATTTTGACCCATGATTTATCTCAGTCCAAAACACACAAAAATAATGACTATCATCCAATATTGTTTTAACTACATCATAACTAACTTATTATGCATTCATAACCGTACAATCCTGTTGTAATTTCATGTTATGGCCCAAAACACATTACACCACATATGGCACACGTGTGTGTTCAGGTTCAAGTGTTAGTGTACATATTCTTTGAGAAAGGTCGAGTTCCCGTGGGGGGAGGGGGGCAGAGAGAGGGGAGACCAGGTGCATGTTGCGAAAAATTATTGTTACAGTGTATGAAGGGGGGGGGGGGCTGGGGTGTCTAAAGTCAAAGATGAATCTGAATCTTGATTGGGCCAAATTTGACCCGGAGTCACCCAAAACAATTCTGCCGGGTCTCCCAGACCAGAACACCAAATTATACACTTTTCTTTTTAGAGACCTTCAGACTGGGCTAAAATGGTCAAAATCAGTTTTGTAGTGTTTATATAGCTGTTGTGGAGGATATCATGAAGCCTTGTTCCGATAAAAATAATTGTGACTTGAAACTATGTCACAACATAAAAAAAATGTAGGTGATAAAAAGAAAAACATAATAATAAAATAAAATGTATACAAAACATCTCGTCCTCTCCACTCTGACCTGGGATACTATGACAGCTTCTCTGTGTTGATCATGTGCTGTGTGTTTTCCGCAGGTTCCTCAGAGGAAGAATCAGACAGGCTACTTCGACCTGGACACCTCTCTGGCCGGCTGTAAGGGTTTGCCTTGGGCCTCTGGGAAAAGGTACACATTTTCTCACCTGGGCTCTCTGTTACTGCAGTTACCACACTCACTTTATCCTAGGGGTAAGGGCAGCATACTTTCACTGGGTTTACCGCAGTCTTAGTAACAGTTGGAGTACAAAGAGTGTTTTATTTTACAGTAACCTCCCACATCATCTGTTTATTATAAGACCATCTGGATCATCATTTAAACACTTGTTTGTGTCACTGTGCAACACATCAGCTGTTACTGTGTGTCAGTTCCAACAAGGAGACTCTGATCCTCCTTATTGTGTTAATTGATGATACAGAATGTATTTTATTTATCATTTTTATGAGTCAAACTATCCAAAATCAGAGTATAAGGGATCTATATGAGAGAGAGAAGGATTGCTTCAGCTGCCATATTCGAACCCCAACACGCTGACATGGGCTTGAATCAGCAACAGGTTTTTAGAAGTATTGTCCTGTGTTTGGAGAAGAGACAATAAGAGTGTTGTTCTGAGTGTGAAGGTTAGGTCAGCTCTGTTCTGCTGACTCTCTCACGCTGCCACCTGCTGAAGCTCTGCTGTACTGTGGCTGCATCTAGAACCACACACACTGCTCAAAATGGCAGACACGACGCCTATACACAGAGCCTCATGGCACTGCCTACACACTGCAGATGTGGGTGGTTGCTCAACGCTACTTCTAATATAATATCATATATGGCTCTCAGGGTGTAAAGTTAATTTGGCTGGTTAAAGCTGTCATTATTCTATATATTAATGTAGTTTTTGTTAGATTTGTTTGTGTGACCAAAAAACGTACATCTGCTGTTTGTTTGAGTAACAAACATTTTGTAATGACAGATATGGCTTATTTTTACCCACAAAATGATGTGTAACCATGAGTCAAGCTGAGATGGACATTTTAAGGGAAACCAAGAAGACCAACAGCATACAAAAAAACACAGTTACAGACCGAAAATGCAAAACGAACCAAAAATTAAGTGTTAGGAACTCATATTTGAAAAGATATACTTTAAAAGAGTCTGTTTCGTAGCTACGTTCATAAAGAAAATAAGTAATTGGCCTCTGATTCTTTGATTTTGAACGAAATAGCATGACATCATTTTATCTATACCCTTGAAGCAGGTCTGTTGAGATGTACTAGATGCTTGCCACGTACACATCTTAAGATGCTCTTTCTTTCACACATCTCGCCTTAAAAACTAAGTTAATCAAGTGTGTGTGTTTGAACCCTCAGGGTGTGTCCGAAGAGAGAGGGGTACACCGATGAGTCACAGCAGCTGTTCAGTGCCAGCGCTCCACCTGCCAGTCTCAGTCTGCTGGGAAACTTTGAGGTAAAACCAAAAAACACACTCACACTCTTTTCCATTTTTCATGTTGGAGAATACTCTCACTCAAGCCCATTAACTACAATGATCTAACAACATGTAAATACCTGTGTTTCCCTAGGAGTGTGTGCTGAACTACCGCCTGGAGCCTTTAGGGCTGGTGGAGGGTTTCACAGCCGAGGTGGGGGCCAGCGGGTCTTTCTGCCCCAGTCACCTGACCGTACCTGTGGAGGTGTCCTTCTACAGCGTATCCGATGACAACGCTCCCTCACCGTATATGGTGAGATTATCTTCTCACAGTCAGTCTATCAATATCTGTTTTATTCCATTTCTCTGACTGAGCCTTGAGCCGAAAGCTTTAGCTGCAGATGTCCGAAAATAATCTTCAAATACTTTGATAATTAATTGATCTTTAAAGTAATTTATAATGCAAAGATGTCAGAAAATACAGTTGTTTGCCTCTTTAAATATGGAGATTCTCATTTGCTATGTTCCAGATCATATTAAGCTGAGTATCTTTGGGTTTGGATCAAAACAGGGAAATAAAGACAATTTATAGACAAGACAAATAACCGAGAATAAAATAGCCAGATGAATCAATAATACAAATAATTGTAATATCCAACGTTAGTTTCAACTATTAAATGAATCGTCAAATATTTTGAATAGGTTTCGAGTATTTCTTTAAGCAAAGAAAGTTATAATTCCCTGATTCCAGCGTTGTAAATGCAAATATTTTCTGGTTATCTGAACTCAATATGTTTACGTTGAGGACAAAACAAACATTTGACGACGCCATCTTAGGCTTTGGGCATTTCTGAAAGGCATTTTCTGACATTTTATAGTTAAGTTGGGAAAATTCTGTATGATAAATCTAAGCCGTTTTCAGAGCTGCTCTTAGAGTGTGAGCTCCAGTGTGTACTTCCTTTGTATACCTGCTGTGACAGTGGTTGTCATGTGTTTTACAGGGTGTTATAAACCTGGAGACCCTGGGGAAACGGGGCTACCGTGTACCTCCATCAGGAACCATTCAAGTGGTGAGAAAACGTTTAGGTTATGTCAAACCAAAAATGTTCATAATGTATGTTTTGAAAATATCTGCATCATGGTGTACACATGGCTGAGAACAAAGAGAACATGACACAAAGTAACTAAAGAACAGGGAGACCCCTACTGGTTATGGAGGGTATATTCATCATCTAACAAGAGCATGTTTTTATTAAATGATGGTGCTTATACTTCTGACTTTAAGGGGTGTTGTTCTATATATACTTATTAAAAGATATATATTTTTATCGACAGTAAGATTTTAGCTTTATGTATCTTTCACAGCATGTCAGTTTCAACGAGTCTCAACCCTCTCATTCTTTCGTGTTGTCCTTTCCAGACCTTATTCAATCCCAACAAGACAGTGGTGAAGATGTTTGTTGTGACGTACGACCTCCGAGCCATGCCAGCGGGACACCAGACCTTCCTGCGCCAGAGGACCTTCTCTGTTCCCGTCCGCCGTGACACAACTAATCAGAGTAGGAAGCCCCTCGGACGCACCCTGCGCTACCTCGTCCACCTGAGGTGAGCTGCAAGAGGGACGCACCATCTGGAAAAGAAATTACTACTCGGGATTATTTTGACTGATATTGTATTTACGATGTGATACTCAATATAAGAGGGAAGGATAAAACATTTTTTTTTAAAACATTATTCTCATTTTCATTGAAATAATATTAAAATAATGACATTAAAGGTCAGTAGAATACCGACAATATGTTGGGACTTCTCTTCAGCACCACAATACGTATTTCAGGATGATCTTTTCCCATATTTTTCATTAAATCTGCACAGCTCTCCAATTTAAATTCTAGTATTTTGTCATATATTTACTGTACTTGGTAACAATATTTTGTGTAAATATTTCTCTTAATTTTCAGTTTTTTAATAGTTTTTTTATAACAGAACTATTCTTGCTCCTTTTACTCCAACTTATTAATATTCCTACTGTGTTTACGTACGCAGCATTTACAATTTAGCTTAAATTCCTCATATTTGTAACCCTACTTGGCAATAAACCCGATTCTGATGTTTTGCCTTTACCAGATATTGTGCTTTTTGCAATTCGGATATCAGAATCAGAATCCCTTTATTAGTCCCACGGAGGGGAAATGTGCGTAGTTACAGCAGGAAAAAGAGCCACAGACAGCTTAATGTTACATATGTTAAATATGTGACATGCATTTTTTTTTTAAAGTACAAAGTTATGATATAATTAAAAATATAATTAAATAAAAAAATTAAAAGTTACATAATTTAAAAAAAATACACATCCTGTAACAGTTCTTAGGATTTAGCAGCCAGGTATATATTACACCGTTATTAACGGCATTTATATATAGCACATATTGCACATAGTTTGTTGGTATTTAGCAGCAAGGGGTGATATAGTCTGTGTTGTGGTGTGTGTGTGGGAAGGGGGGGGGGGGTCAACTAGGGGCTGTGCTGGTTGTATAGTCGGACCGCTGCAGGAAGGAAAGACCTGCGGTATCTCTCCGTGAGGATATTGTCCATATTGCAATTTTCAAGAACAAATTTGATTAATTTCCTCTGTAGCCCATACTATAACTGGGACATAATGATTAGCGATAATGTTTCTCCTTCCTCATCATCCTCTCCGTCTTTCCTCTCTAATCCCGACCAGGTTCCACAGTTCGAAGTCTGGGAAGATCTACCTCCATAGGGATATCCGTCTGCTGTTTTCCAGGAAGTCCATGGAGGTGGACAGTGGAGCGGCCTACGAGCTGCAGTCCTCCACAGAGTCACCGATGGACCCACCTTTCTCCCCCCGCTGCTGAGGCGACCACCAAATGTTTCAATCACACCTCGATGCCAGCGATAGACTCTTCCGCAGCCCATGGCTAGACAAAACGCTCTAAAAGAGAAGCAATTTCAGGACTGCATTCAACAAGACTCACCTGGCATGTGCCCTAAATCTCAAGTTACCTCCCTTCTGTCACCCAGAACTGACAAGGGGGGAGGGGCTAAGAACCTGGGAAACTCGTCAGACATTGTTGAGACATTCGATCAAAGGTTACGGTTATAGAGTGTGTTTCAGATCCTGTTTTCCTGTTTAAGAAGGTCTTGCCAGATATGATAGGTCATGTTTTTCCCAGCTGTTGTGTGTATCCCCTCCAGCGTCTGGCAGGAGAGTAGAGACCACTGATCGTCTACAGAAGACACTTAAATTATTTCACTCTGTTTACTCAAATCAAAATGTTAATTGGACCTGACATGATGAATAAGTGCTCAATCTTAATTCATTTGTTCCAAATGCAATACAAGGCCCTTTAATATTTAGTTTTGTATCCTTGAAGATTATATTGAACTGAAAGTGAACTCTGCTTCGACCCTGTGATTCCTGAGCAGAGGGAGTAAATATGGAGGAGTAGGTGGTGGTGCAACGCCTTCCCCTCGTCTAAAAAAGAAAAACGCCATGGACCAGTGAATATGTTGAACAAGCAATCATCAAGATTCAACTGAAAGCATCACAGCTGAACATCAAAAGTGCACTGTGGATTTTTGTTTCCCTCATTATAACTGGAAGTAAAAACTGAAAATAGTCATATTCGAATACTTTTGTACTGTTACAGAACCACTTTATTGGAAGTGTTGCAATAGAAAGAGTAACCTTAGTTTAGTGTTTACACATTCACTCTCAGTTTACTTACCATCGTTTTATTTAATATTTAAATTAATATTTCAGTTACTACTTGTGACGTCTGTCATGCTAAGATGATGTAGTGGAAACTGTTTATCATAGTATGTATTTTTGACATTAATATTCAAATCTGAAAAAAATATATATCTATATATCTTGAAAGCTGTCTCTTGTTATTATTTTCCCCCAATGTGTGTGTCTGCCATTTCTACATCTCCACACACTGACAATGAAAAGAGGAAAACACATGATTTTACAGTAGATGCTCCTATTAAATATGGTACATCATGAATATAATAAGAGCTGGGGCACAGCTGTGTGTTTTTGGTATTAAATACTATTTGCAAATATGACAATGAATAACTTGGAATTTCACATCTTTGTAGTATTTCAACTAAGACAACAAGTTATTTTTACACAGCAATTTGTTCAAAGGGGATTTCATCAATTAGATTTTCTGCCACCTTTAGACTTTACATTTAATTAGAAATCTAAAAGAAACCAAATTTAAACTAAACAAAGAAACAGAAACGGACTGGTTTGTCTACGGGGGGTTTTCAATAAGAAAGCATTTAAAATGAACACAATAGGTGGACAAACACTGAAGCAACTCATCTCACCACTTATCTCTAGACTGGCAGATCCTTGGTCAAAGCTTTTTTATTTTACAAAAAAGCCCCTTCCTTTAAGTTTACATAGTTGACAAATCATAGGATTCAAATAATAAATGCCATGTTTGTCCAAGATACTACACCTAAATGTGAGGCGAAAACACTCCTATAGGATAAAGGATTGCATAAAGCTGCATTCCCAAAAGTATTTGTATTAATATCCAGAGGAATGAATATCCTCAGTGTAGCACATCTCTGACACATTCCCTGAGTCTTTATTCGGGGAGGGGCGGTCAAAATGTCTTCAGGCACTCATAAAATCACAGAGAGCAATCTGAAACAGCTGACTATACTAAGTGGGCTGTAGGCAAAGCTGCATATTACAGTAGGTATAGTGGTCATTTATTATAGTGAGCTCTGGCACTTAAATGCACCTGATGAGCCTCAAACTGAGGGTCTTTTGTTGACCTGAAAGTGTATCATGGGCGTCACTTTGTTCGAAAAAGGGGTGGGGACAATTTCTCCAGATTTAACATCAGCATAGCAGAAGACAAAATATGTCGTCCCCCTGGGTGTTGAACCTTGAGCACCTGCATGACAAACCAATGCATAGACCTCTGGACCACCAATGTGTTCTTAAATTGATCAACGCCCAACTATACGTGTTACTGTGATTTTACCTTTGTACAGAGTACAGAATACCTTTTGTTTTACTGGAGGCCAGCCTTAGGTAGACGCGCCCCCCCCCCCCCCCCCCCCCATGACATGACAAAAAATGGAACACAAAAATAAAATAATTAAAATAAAATAATAATAAGAAAATAATTAGAAATAATAATAAGAATTCAATAATAAAATACAAATTATAATATTAACTAACATATTAAAATAAAATAATAATTATTAAATAATATTAAATCATAATTAAAATAGTCAAATAAAATAATGAAAATAAATGAATAATGAAATAAATAAAATAAAAATAATAACATAATACGTAATACAATCATAAAAACTAGCTAAAGATATTTAATATGAAAAAAACGGTTTTACCAAAACTAAAACAATTAAGTGATGAAAATAAGAATTAAAAACGTTTTTATATAAAGCATGAAAAAAATATTGTATTAAAAGATCACCACCAAAAAAAAAAAAATGAATCCTGCCTACTGTTTAGCTCAGTGGTTAGCTCAATCTCTGTGAAACGTGGGTACGAATCCACAGCCTGGTGTAACATATTGGGCTGTGTATTAAAAAAAAGTGTCTGGCCATCAAACATAATTAAAAATTAAAAAGTTGCTTAAAGAATATTCACTAAAATGAAGCACATGCAATACAAAACTGTGTGTGCAGCATTCATTTACAGATTTGAGGATTATTAGACTGAAATCTGGATTTGTGTTACAGCACATGGGTCAAACAGCTGACGGTGTGTGTTATGCAATGTAAATCCGATCCCAGCACTGTGGTGTGCGAGCCGGGATTGCCCGAGCGTGGGCGCGCATGGTGTCTCCGCATGTGTGACGTAGGGAGTGCGCGCTTGGCAGGGCAGGACTCGTATGGAAAGTCAGAGCAGAGAATTTGTGGATCACTTGTTCAACTAGTGTGTGTGTCTGAGATCACGACAACACAGACATGTCGGGGGATAACCAAGAAACACAGACAGCCGAAGAGACATCGATGGAAGAGAAGGTAATTGTTAGACTTTTAGCACAGCTGACTTTGTTGCAGCTTTAGCTTTTTTTGCCTGCGCGCTCGTTATTGTTGACATTTCAACGCCAGCTACTAATCCCTGTGTAGACTAGTTGATTTTATTTGTCGAATCTCAAAACAACATTCAAATACCGGTTAGTTACCCTGTAGATTCGGCTGCTGATATATCGAGTGTTTCGGATGGTTAGTGTGAATGTCAGTGGTACCGTTAGCTAATGCTAGCAGCTGGCTATTCGTCAAGCTAACTGTCATGACATTCACACTGGGACAATTGGTAGCTCAGATGCTAACGTTAGCCTAGCCAGACCCAGTTTGCTGTCTTCAAGATTCTAGGGTTTTATTGTCATAATACAGTGTAGTCATGGCAATGACACTTTTAAGTCCCAGGCTCCTTCAACAATGCAACATAAATATATATAACACATAAACAATAAAACCGTAAAAGTTAGTGCAAGAAAATGATGAAAGTGGCCAATGTGAAGGTAAATGTGTAAAAAGTAAACTATAAGATGAGCTAAAAAACACAATGAAATACTGTACAGCGGAATAAAATACTGGTTATTGTGGTAATAAATAAATATGTGAAATGCAAACAGATGAAGCCTAGTTACAGTAACCTTATCTTTCATTCCGCTTTAGCTACTGAGTTGTGTTGTACTGCTAGTTTGGTACCTAGCTAATCTCCCCAGCTGTTAACAAACAACAAACTGTTGTTTTGCAGCAGAATTAGCTCAATTAGTTAGCTCTGCAGAGGTGGAAGAAGTATTCAGATTAGCTACTTAAGTTAAAGTAGTATTATTACAGTGTAACAACAGTCTTTGTAGTAAAAGTCCTGCTTTCAAAATTGTCCTTAAGTAAAAAAGTGTGTTCATTACAATATACTTTAAGTACCAAATTATTTACTCAAATCTAAAGATGCTTAATTTAATTACTTAGTTAAAGGTGGGGTTAATTTCATATACTCTATTTACTTTTTACTGAGCAGCTTAACATTTAATTATAATAAATGATAATGTGCTAGTTGATTTATATTTTACTATAATAACCAAAATCAGCAAAGTAATTATAGCTGTCAGGTCAATTAAGTGAAATAAAATGTACAATATTTGCCTACAAAATGTAGTGGGGTAAAAGTGTAAGTCGCATAATGCAAAACTACTTAAGGAAAGTACGAATACCTCCACTTTTTTCTTAAATACAATAATTGAGTCATTGTACTTAGTTACATTCCTCCAGTGCTACTTTAATACTGCTGGCGAGAATACACATGCCTGTATTATACTAATATTTAAAAATTGCATAGGTTTTATCCCGATATGTAGAAGTGAATGTTTATATACATTAGTATTCAAAGGTCCTAACATGGAGAGTGAGATTATGTCTGTACTGCAGCATGTACTATCAGCTGACACATGTTCAGTGGGAGCCTGGAGGTACTTGATGAATGTACTCTCTTGTTGTACTGCATGTGTGTTTTTGTATTTATAGCAAAGCTCATAATGTAATGCATATTGCTTCTGCTTGTTTCCAGGATGTCCAGGACAAGGTGATCAGTCCTGAAAAGTCAGAGGAGGCTAAATTGAAGTCCAGATACCCAAATTTAGGAAATAAACCCGGGGGCTCTGACCTGCTTCGTAAACGCCTCCAGAAGGGGGTGAGTTATCCCTTGTGTTTCACTGCAAACATACAAAGTTCAGTTACTGTAGGCACAGACTCTAAGCATACTGTCATTCATTTCTTAGTTGCATTGCATTTAGCACATTGTTGCCAGTTTTCTCATACCTACATGTATGCTGTTGGACAAATTGTTATGAACTCAAGGTTCCCTTTCTAGCGTGTTCCAGAGGATACTATTTGCATCAATAATATAACATTTGAGAAATTGTATATATCTCATGTATGATATCTGAGGACCTGTATAATCTAACATTCTAATCTAATCTGCCAGATTTTGAGCACACAAATAAAACTAAATCTTCTTAAATGGCAGACACAGCACAAAAACATAATGCAAATATAACGAGGTGAAAACCGAGCAAACAGAGCTCTGTATAAAACAAGAACACATCTGGTGTTGGCCTTTACTAGCTTGCTAAACCGTAATTGTTGAGCTCGACAGGTAGAGGCAATTTTTGGCATTTGCTTTCTTTACCGCCAATAAAAATCACCCAACCTGTTAAATGTTGCACACTGAGGATTACATTTTATATATAAATATATATATACACAAAGATTATTGTCTTCCTCTTTCTTGGATCAAACTGTAACATTTATAATCTTATGTCTCTACAGCAAAAGTACTTTGACTCTGGCGACTACAACATGGCTAAAGCCAAGATCAAGAACAAGCAGTTGCCGACAGCTGCTCCAGAGAAGACGGAGATCACCGGCGACCACATCCCCACCCCCCAGGACCTGGCCCAGAGGAAACCCTCTCTTGTGGCCAGTAAACTGGCAGGCTGATGTCCACAAACCCCCCGCAGCCCCTCCCTAACCCTCTCCACTCCAGTCTCAGAGCTGTAACATTTACCTAGCTGAAATCCTGTTTATTTTGATGTCCTTCCCACCTGAATCTGCCTCCTATCCTTGTTGTTTTCCCCTTGCTTACCCTCGAAACTGACTATCATTGTCTTCTTACTTTTCCATGTTGCTTTTTATTCCCTCTCTACTTCAATGTAAGAAACACTGCAAAACTGGACATCTAAATGTGAGTGTGAAACGTGGAGTGTGACACCTCTGATGATGATACCACACTGTTTACTGGCTGAAGAGAGGGTCGAGGAAGTTGTGTCCTTTTTGGTTTGAGGGCTTTAGCATGATGGTCAGGATCCCTCCGTTTGGAAGTGTGTGTGTGTGTGTATATGTATATATATATATATATATATATATATATATATATATATATATATATATATATATATATATATATATATATATATTTCCTTTTTTTTGGCACAGAGGAAGAAGTCGCCCGTTAAGAACATTTTACATCCGATTTGTATTATTCACTGTATGTCCTCATTCTAAATTATGCCGTCAATCGGCTTGTGATTTACTGAAAAATAGTAATCTTGAGGCCAAGCTCAGTTTTGTTAACACATTGATTGTGAACCATGGGAGGAATGTACATTTCCCCTCTGTGGGACGAATAAAGGTATTCTAATTCTGAGGGAGCTGTACTGAAGAACCGCCTAGTGAAGGCCAGAGTGTTATATGGAACTGCATGTGTGACGCAGGGCTCCCAAAGGCGAAACTCACTGACCTCCATTTTGTATTCATTAAGGTGCACTGAACTCGGACAGGAAAAGCTCAGGTGCAGCATACAAGCACCGAGTGGCATGTGAATGATGCAGTAAACACATCTTGAAACTTTGTAGAGGAGACACTGCTTCAGTTTGAACTGCGATGGTGAAAATGTGCACGGTGTTTGTGATGTGCCATCCATTTTAGCCTCAGATTATGACAGTGTCAACGTTTCTGTTTACAACTTGTCCTACTTGTGAAACTACCATGCTAGAAGACTAGTTTATGGGATCTAAAAGTTACATTTCGGTCAGTAGAGACCAGTCTTTGGGTCCTGTTTGCTGTGCGAGCTAAATCTACCATAAAGAATGGTACTGGGAGCAGCTCTTGGCATTGGGAACAAATATTGTTATTCAAAGTGTTCAGACTTGGAAACAAATAACTTCTATATAGATAAGTCGAATGAGTATTATCATAGAAAATGTCCCTGAACCTGTTCAGTGCTTTTCCAGGGTCCTTTCTGACTGAATGAAGTTTACCTGTGATGAGGTAAATCAAAGCTAGCACAACAGCCGTCTGAGCTGTGCATGTGTATGGCTGCCCTGCTGTCACTTTGTGCCATTTTGTTTTGTAAATAAAATAGTTTTGCACAAATGTTTAATTGCTGGGTGTGTGTTTTGTGTTTCCTTTTTTATGTTAAGTATATATTGTAGTTAAAGGTGCTTTAAGTTGTCTAACCAATGTGTATTTGAACACAAAAAGGTTTTTAAATCTACATTTGGATAAGGAAAGCAGTACCGGTTAGCCTTCTGTTCTTCACATGTATTCAGATACACTTAAGAACCAATTGTACGTTACAGTTGATAAATGAAATCACTGCAAACATGTTACATTTTAATTCCACTATGTAGCACTGACCAGTTTTGAAGCCATCTGTAGTATTTGTAAACAGAAGGGTGCACACAAATCATCTGAACTCCAGCCACATGCAATGCAGCAGCACAGTCAGTGACGACTCAAGACAGGGAGTATGTCATGTGTTCCTTCTATAACTAAACCCCAATAATGGCACAAACCAAAAGATCCCAAATTCTTGTTGAATCATCTATTGCCAGTATTAACAGAACATTAACATTATGAGCTTTTTATTTTTGCAAGAACATTGTGTTTGCACTATACTGCAAATAGATCATACCCCTTCAGTTGTTTACCTTGCAACAAGAAATAACTTTTTTTCCTTCTATTTTAACAGAACGTATCATGGAAAGACATACATTAAGTAGACAACTTCCTTATATACAGCTATCCCAGTGTATACTGTACTCATATTGATTAAAACTACAAATTGACAAAAACATTCATGTTTATATGGATATTATAACTATTCTTAATAAAACTTAAACCATAGAGATCGGCTCAGAAGTTTCCACCAAGATATTTTTTCCAAAGAATCAAATGCGGTTGTCCTTGGTTCAATTTCTGAAAGTGTGGTTACAAACACTCTTGAGGGCTACAATTATGTGTGTCATATAAATAGATGGTTGAAACCTGAACCTTGATCATACAATGCCTGGATTTAAAGAAAATGGCTGGAGATGGAACAAATCAAATGATGCATTGCTTCCTGCTTTTCTCAGTGTTTTATATCATATTAAACTGAATGTATTTAATTTCTTTCCACCTGTTTTATTTTCCATCTTCTATGAGGTCCCTGCCTCTTCGGATTGTATATACACCCTATTGTATTCAAACTTTATTTTACTTAGGTAGATAGATATCAAGGCAGATGGAAATATAGTTATTTATTTATTTATTTACTTGTTGACTGGCTGCATCACGGCCTGGTACGGCAGCTGCCCCGTCCTCAATCGCAAGGCTTTACAGAGGGTGGTGAAAACTGCACAGAACATCACCAGGACGGAGCTGCCATCCATGGAGGACCCTTACTCCCCAGCGGCTCAGGAAGAAAGCCCTCAGGATTATAAAAGACCCCCATCACCCCAGCCACAAACTGTTCTGTCTGCTGCCGTCTGGCAGGCGCTACCGCAGCATCCGGACAAAAACCACCAGACTCAGAGACAGTTTCATCCCACAGGCAATAAGACTATTAAACACCTGAGGCCTGTTAAGTGCCTATAAACATTCATCTGTTTGCATCTTGCAATTTATTTATCTATATATCATATTCCATTTATGTGTATAGAGACTCTCCTTGCACTATTTCTATTTTGTTTGTATTTACTTTTACATATTACAACATTCTCTTGCACTATTTTATTTCTATTCTGTTATTTCTTGCACTGCATTATTGGTTGTATTGTTTTATGTCCTATATATTATATTCATGTTGCATTGTTGGAAGAGCCTGGGACTTCAGTTTTTCATGCCATATCCACACTGTAGCAACTGTGCACACAATAAAGCCTAGAATCTTGAATCTTGAATCTATTTATTTCAGAGAACGTGGAGTTTGCAGCCATGAAGGACAGCAAAGGATATTCATGGTTAAATTATGTGATTCCTATGGAAGCCATTTTGCTTAAAGTAAATCATAATTTACATATATTAAACTCACACAAATATATTATTTATATTACAAAAACAAAATTAAAATATGCACTAATTCAAGCCCTTTCCATTTATGATAGATAGATAGATAGATAGATAGATAGATAGATAGATAGATAGATAGATAGATAGATAGATAGATAGGTAGATAGATAGATAGATAGGTAGATAGGTAGATAGTATAGATAGATACTTTATTGATCCCAATTTGGGAACTTTTTGAGAATCTTTTAGTGGTAGTAGTTAGGTATTGTACCGTTTATTGTTACTAATTTATTCATCTCTTATATTGCATCCATATATCCTATATACAATGTTACAAGACTTTTAGGGCCGAAGAGATGAAAGTAGGAAATCAATTTCCTCTAATTTCTCTTCCATCTTTTTTCTTTATTTTAAAACATGTTATTTTTTGTTGGTGTATTTCCCTCGTGCGTCCATCGGGGGGCGCAGTTCTCCACGCGGCCGCAGCCCTCTCCATTTAGCTGAATCATTTCATCCTGATCGTACCCAGAATGCAAAGTGAAACACCGAAACCTCAGCAGCCCTGAAGCTTTGCAGGTTATCATATTGATAACACGCACATCTTCCCTGGCCTGAGTCTCTGCTGCAGCAACAAAGGATTTGTATTGCTTCATGAAAACACACACCGAGTCCCATGCAGTGCGGAACCCCCGCCGCCGGAGTGTTAGCCCAGATTGGAGGATTGACCGCCATGGCAGCGTCGGAGCTGTACACAAAGGTAAAACCAGTGGATTTAAATGTAAATATCTGGGCTGTAAATTAATATCATAGCCGCAGGTGTAGCTGTTCAGCTCGAGTAAAAACATGCTGACAGTTTCAATTTCGCTACAAAACAAATGTGTCTTCTTTTGGGGTTCGGTTGGTGGTTTTAAATGAATGAAAATGATGTTGAAACCATATAAAACATGTGACATGCAGTTAGCTCAAGGTGTTTGGTGCTGGTTTTAACATGTCAGTTCAGCGGTGAAATGGGTGCAGCTGACGTGACAACAGATGCGGTGCTTGTGTACCCATAGGTGTCAATTTGTTCAATGTATCTTTTATCTTAAAACATTGTCAGTTGTCACCTTGAGTGTCACCTTAATAAGATATCCCCTTCTCCCGGTTCTTTATATCGTATATCATCCCCCCACTGGAGGTTAGAGGGGCTGGGATGATGCAAAGGCGGTGCCTGCCATCATGGAGGCTCTGGTTTCTACGGTTTTAAACCATAACATTGGCCTCTATTTAAGCCATATGCATCCAAATAGCTTAGTGTTTGTGTTTCCAAACACATATTGTAATATTTTAGGATTATGACCAGCTTTTCCAGGGTGTGTTTGATGGGTCCTGCAGGCTGGGTACCGCTGAGATGCTGCGCCGCATCCGGATCCTTTTAGCATCCTTTTAGCATCCTTTAGCATCCTGCATGTTAGACTAGCAGAGGCCCTGCAGCCTGACTGTAGCTTTACAGATGCTCAGTGAAGAGAATATGACACTGCTGCTGCAGAGGAGGACTCACAAGGTCACAAGTGCTGCTGCTGTAGTGCAAATGTAAAAACCATTACAGGAAAGAGTGCATGTTTGTGAGAGAAAGAGATGAGTCACCCATCCCCCCTACTTTGACAGCTGGTGTTTTTCAGCTTGAATAAGGTTGTGGTGGTGAAGATACGTGACTTTGTGTTTGTGTTGTTGACGGTTGCTATTGGAATGTATTTTTAAACAAACCACATTGTAGGCTATTTGTCATTTAAACCCCTCTACTTTTGGTTGGATCGCTCACATTTATTAAGTGGTTTCCCTCCTCTGTTGTTATGACAAGCTTAGACAAATGGTCAGAGATGGTGTTTGAACCTATTGACATAGATTTGAACCAGGGGTCAGCAACCGGACTCTGCCCGCTCTTCTGTGGCTGATCCTTAATAAACGAGGCAAACAAGATGGCATCATCTTGGCATATAAAGTCCTGAAATTGCTATAATAGATCTGCTCTATTTATTAGTCCACAGAAAATTGTCCGACAACAACACATCTAAGCTAAACACACAATCCCTGATTTCATTCGGTTCCAGCTTCGTAATATGAATATTTGCCAATTTTCTTAATCATCTGAGTAAGTAAATTAAACATGGTTTTGTTGACATATTATTTTTTTGCTTTTTTCTAACTTGTTACAGACCAAACCATTTTTTTGTTTCTTGCTAAATGTATTGGTGCAGTTAACAAGGTACAAATAACTGTATCTTTATGTACGGGATGCTGGGAAGTCACAGGGCAGTTATTGAAAAATACATAAAACATGCTGGTCTGACATCAAAGTCAAAGTCAACTTTAATGTCCATCTTCCAGTTTGTGTGTACAGACAGAGAGATCAAAATACTGTGCATGCAGAAGGATCTCAGATTGCATTATACATTCACGACAAACAAAGGTTGTTGCCTGGCTTCACTCTTTTCAGCAGAAATGATGTTACTATGTCCTTGGTCTGTTTTAAACAGCACCTTGGTAAGAAATGTAAACCAGCCATCAACAGTGTTGGCAGAGGCTGCTCAATTAGCGTCCTCTGCCAGCAGGATTTGGCCTGAAGCCGTCCAATCTGGCTGTTTTTAATTCCATAAAAAAACACGTTGGGTGTAAATAGTTTAAATTGCAACAGAGAAGGACAACTTTGGATGTTGTGTCGATGTGGCTGGGAAACACAAAATGATTTCTTGCTGTGAATGGTCCGGTCTGTTTCAGGAGGCAGCCTCTGATGTCAGACCCCTCTCTGTGATTTACTTTTCCAAGACAGGGGTGGAAAACACTCTGCCCTTTGTGCGCATGAGTCAGACTTATAGAAGCTTATTGAGTGGGTCTGAGCTGCTTGGTTAACATGCACAAACACACACACACATCCACACACACACACAAATGCATACACAGTATCAGATTCTGCTCTAATCTACGTTTGGCTTCTGTCTGACCTGATTGCCGGTATAAAGAGAGGTTAGTCGGAGGTGAAGGCAGATTTGAAGGTTAGAGAAGGACGACGGTACAGTTGTAAACATTAATCTGCTATGAGAAGTCAGAATTTACTTTCAAATGTATGTCTGTATGGTCTGTGTGAGCCAAATCAAGTAAACAAGAAACTACTTTAGTACCTTCAGGTAGGGATGGAAGTGAGACGAGGCTCCATTAGATGACTCGGAGATGGAAAGGCTTTTAAATGCACCGCCTACAGCGTTTAAAAAAAGATACATCATGCATTTAAAGGAGTGTTTTGTCTAGCACAAGTGCATTTATTTTTATTTTTAGAAATACTAGACTTAGTATCGATTCATGAACCTAAAATGAAATTATGTTATGAATGTTTTTCACTCAGCAGATTTCCTTTTTCACAACACACTTACCCTGTACAGAGTCGTATGATGTGTTGCCTCTGATTGCCGTTTCAGGCCTAAAATTGTCCGTATGATTGACTTTAGCTAATAAACTATGCTTACCATGTTAAGAATCATTGTTTTTGTTTTGTTGAATCATAACAAAAAGCAGTTTACTTTGTAGATAAGGAGCTCTTTGGATCTGTTATACCAAAAGGAAAGCCAGAAAGCTGTTTAAGTACACTACTGAACACATCTATTAATACAATATGCCTGCAATTTAGGATTGTTTTCACTAGCGAATAATCTGCCGATTATTTTCTAAATTAATCGTTTGATGTTTTGTATTTAAATGTCCAAGTTAGCCATGTTTAAACCCAAACATATTCCTTTTAATCCATTACATTAATCTTTTTGGTTTACTGATCAGGAGAACATACAATATACAGTTTTTCTAAGAGCGGGGGTCTTTCATACGCTGTATATTGTATATTCAACGGAGTGTGTGATGCTTTCAATTTCACATCAGTCTGCAGACCTCTGTGATGTTTCACAATATAACAAACTGCATAGAGTTTTCTCCTCTTTAACTAATGAACACGCACACACACGCTACTGGTACACATGTGCCGTCAATCATTTGTCAAACTGCCAAAAGGCCCCACACTTGAAGTGTTTGCAGAAAAAGAAGTATGCCCAACTGAATCACAGGAACATCGCATCGTAGTGTGGGTGCTAGGTTGTAGTCAGACTGGCTGGATCCTAACTTCAAAGATCTGCCTTTTAGCACAGCGATGGGAGAAAATCAGGACTGAATCATGTGGGCCATGAACAGCGGTTGAAGCATTTGGACACACTCAGTGGTGTGAGTGTTGTGATGAGCAGCTGATGAAAAGTAAACACCTGCTGTTACATCACTTGTTGGGCTGTTTCCAAAAAACAGCATGCTTGCCTGTTTCAGGTCATGCAGTGCAGAGTGGTTTTCTGTGATGGCTCCATTCAGTATTCCCTTTATTCAAATTGAGAATTTTATATTTTCCGGGTCAAGTTGTCATAACATATGATGGCAGACCTTAATAATAGGAGCTAGGAATGGAAAACAAGCCATATTTTACAGCCCTACTTATTATAACATAATAGTCAAGATGTGTGTGTTATGGTTACATGTGTTACTTCAACTGCATCAGGCTTCAACATTTGACATTATCTTTGACTGCGGTTCATTTTAGTCTTCCCAGCTCTATTTGGGAGCATGTGCATTAGATTACAGAGGTAACCTGGTTAACGTAATTGCGCAGTCATGTTGTATATGCTCTGGCATGTAGTCATTGCCGTCATGTCCAAAAACAGACTAAAACTCCAAAGGCAGACGAGGCTGAATGTTTACAGCTAAAATATTCCTTCTGACCGTTCACTGTCACGGTGCAGGAATCATTTATTGTGATGATTTAACTAATCTTACCTCCAATACGTTTGTTTCAGTTTTGAACCAGCCTCCTTAAGTAAATGAATGGCTGTCTAAGACGGCCTGGAAATAACTAAATAGGTTTAGAGAGTACAAGTTGGTTTTGTGTTCCTCTAAAACAAGGTTTGACCACTTGACTGTCGGATCATTTTTTTATTTGGAGCCATGTCAGTGGTTTGTGGGAAAGTCCTGTTTTCATGCTCTGAGAGTTTTGTGTGCCTCCCAACTCATGTGATTGAGAAAGGATGTCTGATAGGCAGCAGCAATAGCCAATTATCTGTCACTGGAACAGTGTCTTTGTGGGGCGTTGTTAAACGCTGCTTGTGTCTTCAGACACTGGGAAGGTTTCATCCACCAGTGAGCTCTGAAGCTCTGAAGCTCTGAAGCCCGGCGCTCGATCAGCGTCTGGCCCTGAGGCGCGTGTGGCTGGAGATAAACCAGCAGACTCACAGTATGAGCTAGAGACTTGATAAAGAAACAAGATGAACCGGGAGTTGGACTATATGTTTATAAAAGTAAGTTTTTGCTTTTTTCAAGCTTTCAATTGGCATCCAATTCCCCCATTCATTGATTAGGTGTATATATAGACAAGAAACAATGTTAAAAACATGGGCTTTAAATGAAATTAAACAGTCTGGTATTTAGGAGAAGCTTATTTCACTTTTAAGCTATATGTGGTTATTTGATAAGAGATCGGTAAGGTCTTGAATTGTGGACACACCCTTCTGCAGAAACAAAGTTATGTAAATGAAAAACAGTTAAAGCAACAGAGTAGCGACTCATTTCATTTTAGATCAAGCTGTCTTTTGGTAACTTATTAATCTTGGCTTAAGATCAAAATGTTATCACTGGATATAGTTTGTCCCACCTTTCATAGATGCAGGACAATATGTGTGGGTTTAGGACAAAACCTTG